CCGGCTATTAGTACCCGAGACGGCGTGCGGTTTTAGTCGGTTCGAGTCCGACATGCCACTGGTATCCGAGGGGATTTCCGCAAGGAAAAAAAAGGGGGTCACGACACCTAAAAAAACTGCAGCTCCTCTTTTTGAAGTGAAAACTTCTTTAGGCGCGTTAGGCATTTTTGAACAGCAAATAAAAGAATGTTTTTGTGAGATGGGAAAAAAAAAATTGAACTCTCGACACTGTTACCGTTACCGACACTTCTGTATATAAGTATCTACATATATATGGCTAATATCCCTTTATTGTACACCAGATATATCAGATATATTTAAATATACAATAATTATCATAAATTAGGTTAGTACAAATAGCGGCCTTATCGCTCAGAGGCAATCTTTTGCAGGCAACCGTGGTATGGATATATGTATATATAGCTATAAAAAGTGGTAATTACACATAGTATCTATTTGTTGGACTAAAATGAATATATAACAATATTGATACTATACATTCATAATATAACTATGTATGTATAATTTTTACATATATTGTGTATATACGTACAACATAGATATTTTATTAATGTCGGATTTTTTTGAATCGAAGAAAATCAAAAACAAAATCTGTTATAACTAAAAAACATGTAGGCAACACTCCCGGACTGCCACTGTTTTTTTAAAGTCGGTTAGTTCTGTATGTTTTTAGTTATATACATATTTTCTCATTGATACATTCCTAAATTATATTCAACTAGCTGTACCTGCATTGTGGTTGAAAAATAGATAAACAATCTTTGAAGCGGTATGTATATTATTTAAAGTTGTGCTTAATCGGTGCAGAACTTTTTGAGGTTTTGAAGCATACACAAACCAACGTAAAATTATAAAGAAAGATAGTCTTATCCCAGACTAGGCAGTGCCTTGACGATGGTGTAGTTCTAAATACATACATATTATAGATATCGGAGATCTCGAACGCAACTAGAAAATACAACACTTAACCTAACTACATGTGAAAACGTGCGCGAACAATGCGTCCTATAAAAACGAGCTGCATTGCGCGTACTCGGTCACGGTACAATTATAATACAGTAGTGTAACTCGGCCGCATGATAGAAATAAATGCCTACAGCCGCGCGGTACGTAAACATGCGTTAGGGCTGCCCGTCTCCAGCATTTTAATTATATTTGCCTACTTTCTGTTTCTATTTAGATTTGTGATTGTAAATATCCTTTTTTATAAATAAATGAAATACTTTGTATATTTAATAGGAAGTGTTCAATAAAAATGCGTGTTGTTTTTTGATTGGTAGATTTAATTAAAAAAACATGTTTTTGTTTGAAAAACAAATCCGGCTTATAAATTTGTGACCGAAAAAAATCCTTCTATAAATAAAATACATAAATGTGCTTTCTCCTTACGCGTTACAAAACTACAATCCTTAGAAACTCCAACACCTACCTACTCAACTAGAAGGCAAGAAACAGCTGACGAGTAAGTAACTTTTTATCTCAGCTTTTTAACGTCTCTATAAATTAGGTACCTACCTACAACTCGCAACAACTCAAAACAAAAATTCTTTGGTCACCAATTAATTAATTATTAAAAAGCTGAACAGCTGACTACGAATGTTTTAAAATCACAACCTAGCTCTAGCTGTTGTTGTTAATACCGAGAAAATAAAACCAGTTTTTAGTGGTATATGTTGTTATAGTAGCAGCAGAAACACTTTGTGAAAATTTCGAAAACTGTCTAATGACACACAGACGGTAAAAATTTTTTTTAGTATTATTCATACACACAGATAATAAACAAATATTATTAATAATAAAATACCACGTCTTTACTTTGAATTATGCAAAGTAACAAAACACACATGCACCTACCGTATCATGATTCATTCAGAACCGCATATAACTCCCTATTTCACTCGTCTCAATAACTTTCCGTTACTCTATTTGCTTTATTTATTCATCCAAACACCTTTTTTTTCGTGAGATAAAAGGAAATACTTATCCATTAAAAAGAGACACATTATGTACCTACCTACTAGTAAGTAAAATTATTTTATTGTCTTACCTTTCAGAGTTTCCAGGTAATTTAAAAAAACTTATGTCTGGATGCGTTATTGACGAATTCATACAACCAAAAACAGCACAATATTTCCTATTCGTCATATTAACTGATTTTTAGAGAAAAAATCGCGCGGTTATTGTTAAAAAAAACAACACACAGTCCGTTCGACACTGCGGTACAGCCGTGACTGTCTGCGCCCCGAGCGCACCCCGAGATCGAGGCGCGTAGGTATAGCTCGCGTTTCGTCCGTTTGTATGAAGTTGGAGTACTGTATTATAATAGTACCGTGACTCGGTCATTCTCGCCTAAGCCGTCGGACTGTACGGATCTATGTACAACTATTCGTGTGACCTTGGCAACTAAAGTCAGCTTTGCTGACCTCACTCAATTAAAAAACAACCCAGACATAACTCCTCCGTCATTGATAAATTACACCCAGACACAGAACAAATGATCGTGCTCATTACATAATATTTGTCACGGTTGAGAATCGAACCTCCGATCTCCGATATAACTTTTTTCGCTTTATATAAATACCACCTGGTATTTCTTAAGCGAATTTGAATGGGATCAAACGGGAAGAATACCCTCTTACACAAAAAAAAAAGCAATTCAGAAACGACGGAGTTCTGGTGTAACAAACATAAAAAGAGACACTACCTAAACCAAATTGAGAACCGCCGCGAAGTCAGTTTATATACCCTACTAGCGTCTCTTAAGAGGAATATATTATTGTGCCGCGTTTTTGCAAGATTTTTTATTGATTCTTATGTCCTTTTAGCCGTAACGTGGTGTTATATAGCCTACCTTCTTTGGTAAATGAGCTATCCAACACGAATTATATTTATTATAATATAGAAGAATATTTCAATTTGAAACAGTAGTTCCAGATATAAGCGGATTCAATCAAACAAACTGTTCTGCTTTATAATATTAGTATAGATATATATTACAAATATAGATATAGCTTACAAAGGAACTATAAATCGTATCTGTAATAGGTGATGAAAGAATTGAGATTTATTTAAAACTTAATGCACATGTTGTACAAAGGCGGACTGAACGCCATTAGGTATTCTCTACCAGTCAACCTTCAGGTGATGTAGAAATATGATGCGGTAGGTGCAAAATAAATATTAAATTTAACATAATTGAAGTCCAGAGACATACATCATCTATAAACACTATGTGTGTAACTAAACATACATACATAAACCTACATAAATTTAATAAAATATATAAATACTCAGTCGGGTACTAGCGTTGTGACTGTTCTGCCAATTCACTCCGATTTAATTTAATTAACTAATGAATGTTTTAGGCGGTCCCCGCCTTAGTGGACACAGTTATCTATAGTAATAAGTCCTTTAGGCAAATAATTTTGTTCATTTTCTAGATAGTATACACTATACGATTAAATTTATTGTTCTATTAAGGCGTTTAGTCGTCAATGTTACTAAAAAAGTTCGTGAATTAATATATTTACATACAATGGCATAATATGTACGCGAATAGACATTTAATTGAGAGAATTCTTGTTTAGTTTAATCATCATCACATTATCATCAACAGCCTTTACTAGTCCACTGCTGGACACAGGCCTCTCCTTAGCAAGGAGGTTTTGGCCTACTATACCAAGCTGGCCAGACGGGTTGCTATAGGGTTTGTGTCTAGATTTTCTTCTCTCTGCAGTGATGTTGTTCCGAGTAGTTTGCTCCCTTAGTCGGCTCTTACGACACCCACGGGATGAATAAGGGTGGTGACACTCTGTATTCTTAATCCGTCACCACACAGTTTAGTTTAATAGTCATATCTAACTAAAAAATATGACTGTATGTTTAGCTGAGATCAAATTCGTTACGCTAACGTTACAGGTTGAAAATAACTCTTGACGACCGGACGGCGTAGTGGTTTGTGTAACGGACTGCTATTTTAAAGGTCGAGGGTTCGATTCCCGCTCAAGTCAAACATTTATGTGCATGAACAGTTAATGTTTGATTTGGTCTGGGTGTTTCTATGTATAATATGCATGTATTTACAAAAAAAGTATATATGTATTTATATCAGTTGTACCCATAGTACAAGCTCTGCTTAGTTTGGTAGTAGATGGCGGTGTGTGACTGTGGTAGAATATTATTATATTATTATGATTACTCTTGATATATATGTCAGTTTTACCGTCGTGATATCAAGGCCACAACGAAAGCCGGCGTTAAGCATTTTCCCGTTGATTTACGACAAGCAAGTGAGATCACCAGAGGCACAACTGTTGACGCTCAAAGTAATTTAACTCAATTCACTGCTTATTTTGGATGAGCAATATCTAGCAGTGTGGAATTTGGGGAGAGTCGTGGAGACAGGCTGGACAGTGTCAGTGATCAGGGTTTCAAACTGCGAGTAACGTCATCCTCACATTTATATTGCTAATGTTGGTTGAAAATAATTTTGTGAGGATTCCAGGACTGTTGCGGGAGAGCCCTTCTTCAGCACAAATGGGCCGGCTCTGCTGTAGGAATACCACGGTATCATAGAATACCTTACGCAGTTTTTTCGTTGGTTTTCACCACTTGTGTCTCTGAGTTGCACTTGCCGTCAGATGGTAAATCTGCTCGTTTGTCCTATATTCCATACCATCATCTCAGCGAAGAGACGTCTAATGCTTTGCATAGGTCTCCCCCAAGGTTCGCCACAACAGCCGGTCCTATGCTACCCTCATCCAACGGCTTTCCGCGACCTTTACCAGGTCGTCGGACCTCCTTGTGGTGTTAAATACCAGGGATGGGCAACAGCACTCTACTGAGCACAGTACTATCTCACTGCAATCGAAAACCCGCATGCCAAACGTGGCGATTTTGCAAAACCCCTTCCTCTCTACCCCTATTCCATATACTAATTAATAAATTACTTAACAAAACGTAGTACAATAACTACTTACTTGACGTTTAGTTGCCTCTGTATGAGCAATTTCTTCTCAATTTGCTCTATAGGGAACTGAGGAACTTCGTAAGGTGCCGACAGCTCATTAGGCAGTTCACGGGGCGACTCCGCGCCCACTGCGCTGGTCGGTGACTCGCTACCTGTAAACGAAATTTGTCGTTTAGTTATGAAGGCTTCATTTATACTATTCTTAGGTTATATATACTTCCCAGAGGAAAGTGGGGTGCCTGAGGCCACTGGGATGGTCTTTACTGGAAATACTACATACCTACTCCTGGCGCCTGCATCACCACGGGAGCCGAATATTCGACAGGATTTTCTGACACGTAATAATAAATAAGTGTATTAATAAACGAATACTCTGACTGGCCGGGTGGTTTAATGGTTTATGACCCTGACTGCTAAGCTAAGTCGTGGGTTCCACTCCCACCCAGTTGAAATATTGGGTAATGATCATTTGCTTGGATTGTGTCTGGATGTACTCTTCCTTTCTTCCTGCGAACCTTTTTCCCAAACTAGGTTGGGGTCTACTACGATACGGCCGAACTTCAATTTTTTACGAGGAGCGACGGCCATCAGACCTCCACAACTCAAGTGCTAGGCAATATCGATGTTCTCTAGAAAGAATATTTACTGTCGGACTATTTAGAGCTCCAACTATCCATATCGCTTGCGACAGACGTTCGTATGGCAACCGGGACTGACGACTTAACATGCTTTCCGTCTGGATGTCATCATCATCAATCATCAACAGCCTATACTAGTCCACTCCTGGACATAGGCCGCTCCTTAGAAAGGAGGTTTAGGCCTACTATACCACGCTGGCCAGACTGTAACTGGGTGTAACTTATCCATACTAATCCATTCTAATATCATGCGAAAGTGTGTCTATTTGTCCGTCGGTCTGTCTGTCTGTCGGTCTATCTGTTTGTCTGTTACCTCTTCACGCTTTAATCGTTGAACGATTTAGGTTAAATTTGATATAGAGATAGTTTGAGTCCCAGAAAAGGACATAGGACAGTTTTTATACCAGAAATCATCCTTTAAAGGAGTGAAAAGGGGGGTGGAAGTTTGTATGGGGAATCAGTAACTGAAAGCACAGATGGCGTAGTAGTTTAAGCGGTCACCTTACCGTTTCCTACTGCGTTGAGTGTTATGGGTTCGACATGGGACAACACTTTTGTGATAAACAAATTGTTGTTCTGAATCTGGGGGTCTTTTGTGTCCGTTTCATGTATGTTTGTAAAGTCCCCCGCGACACAGGATTTATGCCTAGTGCGGTAGTCGTCCATTAAAAAAACAAGAAAAAAATAACAATCACAGAACCGAATTACATGAAAGTTTAATTTGATTCTTGTGGAAGGATATAGGCGGGCGGAGCCGCGTTCAAAAGCTAGTCTATGACATGACCAAATTTAAAAATATACTAGTAAGTACACAATAAGCTACTACTACTACACTTCTTATATAAGTGGGACTAAAATTACATTCGGCAAAATGTTTGCGTTTAATACACTTCTGTCTTCACCTCCAGGAATAAAGGCGTGAGTATAAGAATACTCCAAAAAGAAGGCCAAAAGTTTGTACAAAATACGGAGTACTTTCACATAGACACGACATCCCGGCATGTGAAATAATTAAATATGTATTATTGCCAAAAATTACGAAGCGAGGGGATGAATATTTTATTTTCTTTGTAAATGGAAAGTGATTTTATATTCATTGTATCTTATATTCATCCTACCATTTTGATTTACTTACTAAGATGGTAAATACGCTTATGGTTTATTAAGATGTAAGAAGTAGGCATAATGTTTAAACAAACTAAAAGCTCTTCGGGTTTATAATTCGGTTCGAAGCCGTTACTTACTATATTTATTTTGAACTAGCTTTCGCCCGCGGCTCCGTCCGCGTGTATATCGGTTATCGCCTATGTCCTTTCTCAAGAAGCCAACTATATCCATACCAAATTTCATCTAAATCGGTTGAGCTGTTGTTTCCCATACAAACTTCCACCCGACTTTTCAACCTCTTAAAGAACGATTTACGGGATAAAAACTATCCTATGTCCTTTCCCGGCACTCGAACTATCTCTACACCAAAATTTCGTTTAAATCGGTTCAGTACTTTAAACGTAAAGAGTTAACAGACTGACAGACATACTTTCGCATTAATAACACTAGTATGGATTTTCTCTAAAAAACTACTGTAATTATTTAAAATAAATGTCTTTAACGGTACAAAACAGTCCAGGTGCTATTCCAGAGTATAATCAATCTCTGTGGCAAATTACATTCTGATCCGTTAGGGCGTTTCGGCGGGACTGAGTAATAACCAACTATCTGTTGTTCTAGTGGTTAGTGACCATTGATATAATACTTACATAGATGAGTAATTACCGCCTAAAATCGTTGCTACTGCACATATGTCCACAGGCATATGCGTAGCAAACGTCAATTCATTATTCAATGTGGCGTCAACCGAGTTGAACATAGCGACACATGACAGTAACAATCGCCAAAATGGCTAAATGCGTAGTGAAAGAATGCGATTTAAGGTCACAAAACATTAATAAATCATGCGGAATTACTTTTCACGTGTAAGTTTATGGTTTTTGTATTGATAATATCGTAAATAAGGCTATAATTGAAATAAAACACTGATAATTGTAATCTAGAATCAGTGTTACCATTAAAAAATCATTTTGGTTTTCCCACATTAGTGGGAGAATTTATAATTTATGAAATAATATGCTTTATACTGTTTTTAAACATTTTGCCAATAATAATAAAATATAGGAAGAACGGTAGTTGCTAGGGCTGGACCGATCCCTTTTTTTAGGGACCCGTTGAACGTTCACTGCGAGCTTGGTAGAAGTGCCAAGCTCGCAGTGCTGGAGACTTTTGTACAAAAAAAATTAATTCATTGTTTTTCTTAATTTATTTAAATAATAATTGTACAAAATAATAATAATAATAATAAATATTTATCATAAAAATAAAAATATAAAATAAAATAAACATAAATAATTTTTTTTATAAAATATTTTTTTTTTTTTTTTTATTTGTTTTTTAAATTATAATAGAATTTGCAATACACCCTGGGGATTATTTATTATCAGTACAAGTTGATCATTCACTTTTATTATTAAATGCTATTATTTTTACATACGTAAAAATAAGATTGTATCATGAAAGTAAAATATCCACACAAACTTATATAAAGAGTCTAAAAGACAATTGTATACAAAACTGATGCTTCACAGCGCAGTTTGATTTTACACTGAATATAAACCCTTTTAACCAAATATTTCCAGTTATTTTATTATTTATACCTATTCTATTCAATTCGAAATATATTATTTAGAATATTTAAATTAATTTATTTTATTACAAAATTGTTTTAAAAAAAAATTGTTTCTTAGTTGTTATGGGTAAAATTTCATACGGTAGTCAACACTGGCCCACCATCGTAAAGTTATATCTTTGTCTTTGTCTAATCCGAGCAATGCAATTGTTCTTGTCTCGCGTGTAAATGAGACATAAATATGTTTACTTTCAAATGTTTAGTGGTATCAAAGCTACGTCGTCAAAGTTCAAAAGTGGTTACACTTTTTTCGACGTGTGATAATGAGGTTTGCTTCTCTAGTGTTGTTTTAACTCAATGTTAGTGACCCTGTCTGCTAAACCGGAGGTCGTGTCGTGGCTCCGCGTATTTGTCGGTAAAAAGTAGAAAATGTTACTCGCTGATAATGTAGCTTTCTATTGGTAAGAAGAATTTTTAAAATCTGTTTAGTGATTTAGGCGTAAAAGCGTAACAAAATAAACTCATTTCACATTTATAATATTAGGTCTTTACCTATGAAGTTGGAGATTTGTACGAACATTTTAAAAATATAAAACTTTTGTTTTTTTTTTATTTTAGCTAATCAAAGTACTGGCCCAAATTATCTATACAATTTTGCCATTTTGATGGCAGTTTGCTTGCTGTCTGCTGTCCGAGACCCAATGTAGTCAGCGTTAGTTAGTTCGTGTGGCACCCATTTATCCAACTTTTTTATCTTTCCGATTTGACGCAAGTTCTTTAATGTTGTTTTGACACTAACTCCATAGCCCGCAGCAAGCTCAGCCGCAGATTGAGTTGGATCCGCTTCCACTATCACCTTCAATTCCTCGTTGTCGACTAGTTAGGTACCGGCTGACCGCGATGCTCTTTCTTCATCTCAAAATGTCCAGATCTAAAATGATTAAACCAATAATGGACCGTGTTGTACACGTCGTTAATGTGTTGTTTACGCAACGGTATTTGCACTCATACTCGAAACGAATTTTCAGTTTATCCATGGCGCCAAAAGCTATCACAGTTAACAAAAAAAAAAAATATATGTAAAACAAATGACTGAATTTCAAATTAAAATAACATTTTAAAATTAGAATTGCGCGCCAATCCACAGATAATTAAATCTGAAAGAGCTAGGTATAAACATCTCCAACTTCATAGGTCTATTATAAGTATGGAAGTATGGATAACCGTACTCGTAGTAAGATGTTTTCCTTGCTCATGATACAATGCCACGATGAATTAATATAATGCACATATTTAATGATGTCTGAGCTCATAGCCATTAATGTACTGTCAACAATGTAATAATTACGATGCACTTATAGAATTTATTATCTGCATTCAAAGTGTAAACATTAAACAATTCTTCTTGTAGATAAAAATATACTGATACATACTTCAGATATAAGATAGAATGCATACAAGACTTTCTTATTAGCGTTCTTTACAAATTACCACATTGATTCGTATCATAACTGATATCTATATCAAATATATTAGGAAACATAACAGGAATCCTGGAAATTGGTGACAGCGCCATCTATCGGGACCTATTCTGATTGACCAGGGTTTTCTCTGTTCTAAAAGTTAATATTTGAGTGGGTATTTAAACACATTTTTTATCATTATCGGTCTAGTGTTAGTTACACATACAAAAGCATGTTTATGTTTAAAGAAGATAATAAAACGAAAGTTTGTTGTTCCGGTTGAATCTGCCAATCCGATTTGGTACAATATTTTTCGATTTGCAAATTGCAGAGGCAGATTATGAGTTATTTAACATCATGCTATGACTTTT